CTTCTGGAAAGAAATGCTTCCTAATATCCAGTCTAAACCTTCCCTGGTGCAACTCGAGGCCATTCCCTCTTGTCCTATCACTTGTTCCTTGGCTCAAGAGACTCATCCCCCCTCTCTGCCCCCTCCTGGCAGGGAGTTGCCGAGGGCCAGGAGGTCTCCCCTCAGCCTCCTCTTCTCCAGACTGAACCCCCCCAGTTCCCCCAGCCGCTCCCCAGCAGACCTGTGCTCCAGACCCTGCCCCAGCTCCGTCGCCCTTCCCAAAACCAGCTTCCAGCCCGCTTGCTGTGTACAAGCTGGAGACTGATCCCAGACTTAGGCAGCAAAGGTTTATCACCGATACATCGACAGTGCCGGCTGTAACCGCCCTGACACCCAATCCTGGCAGACAATGTGTTCTGGTCGATACCACTCACCCACTGAGAACAGGCTCAGCCTAAGACCCAGCATATTTTAAGGTGATATCATGTTATGCCCAGCACAAGTGTCCCTTCACGTCCCAGTCCCAGCAGACACCGCAGCGGGGTCCTGCACCGTTTCTGAACGTCGGAGCTCGCGACGGGGCGGCTGCCTGACACCCGCCCTGCCAGCCCCTCTCCTTACCTGGCGATCTCACACTTGTTCACATCCAGGCCCCTCTTTGGCATGAACCCCATGCCCCTCTGCGGCTCCTTGCTGCTGAAGGTGTTGAGGTAGTGAACGTAGGGGGATTCGTCCGTGATCTCAAAATAGCGAATGCTGCTGTCACCCTGCGAGGAACAAAGGAGGGTCACTCCGAGGGGCCGGCGCTCCCCCTGCCCTCACGCCTGCTCCCTGCTAGGCTGGGCAGCCATCACTCTCTCCTGACAGCTTTTCCTTCCCAGAACGCTGCCACAGAGCAATGCACAGTTTATAGCCATTTTATTTTTCAGGGTAAAACATCCACCGCTTGCCGGTCGAACACGGGATGGCACACGGCTGTGCTCTTGCTCTCCGGCAGCATCAACACAGCTACCACAAAGCAGATCCCTGCTGCAGTCCAAGTACGTTACAGAATCACAGGATGGTTTGGCTTGGAAAGATCATCTAGTTCCTTAAAGCCCCTCCAGTGCCACCCCCTGCCCTGGGCAGGGCCACCTTCCACCAGCCCAGGTTGCCCAAAGCCCCGTCCAACCCGGCCTTGAGCCCTTCCAGGGAGGGGGCAGCCACAGCTTCTCTGGGCAGCCTGTGCCAGGGCCTCACCCCCCTCACAGGGGAGAATTTCTTCCTTCTGTCTAATCTAAGTCTCCCCTCTTTCAGATTAAAACCCTTACCCCTCATCCTATCCCTACACCCCTGAGTCCCTCCCCCCGTTCCCGCAGCCCCTTTCAGCCCTGGGGGGCCGCTCTAAGGTCTCCCCAGAGCCTTCTCTCCTCCAGCTGAACCCCCCAACTCTCCCAGCCTGTCCTCACAGGGGGGGCTCCAGCCCCCCCAGCATCTCCGTGGCTCCTCTGGCCCCGCTCCAGCAGGTCCGTGTCCTTCTGCTGGTGCCCCAGAGCTGGGCCCAGCCCTGCAGGGGGGTCTCGGAGCAGAGCAGAGGGGGAGATTCCCCCCCCTTTGGATCCTCCTTTGTAATTACTTGTTCATCTTGTCTTTGGCTCCTATTTGTAGGAAGTCTAAAGCTGTGGCATCAGAAGGGGGCACTTTATAGAGCACTTAATGCCTACAAATTGCTTTTAGAAAGCAGCACATGATTCCAGTTTCTATTATTTGACCCCACAACATTACAGCGAGTGTTGCTACATGCTCCATCACCTTCAAGCACAAGGAGGATAAGATCTGAATTGTACCTTTCACATTAAAGTACAACAATTTGGGTCAAGACCAACAAGAGTTGATGGTATCTGAGTTGTTTCATTAAGAGGAGCTTTACCTAAGTCAATCCATCTCAGAGAAACACCCAACTACAAACCAGACCTTCACAGGCTCTCTGCAGAGCGAGGAGCAAACCAGCTGCAGAGCAGCCTGATTTGCCTGCAGCCCTGACCATCACCACAGTGCTAACTTCTGGTTCTACCTTTCTCAGTGAGACACCTGGGGAACGTTTCACAGGCATCAGTTGTTCAAGAGGAGTCTCCCCCTAAATACACCCAAGTCATACCAAAAGCTTCTCTTTACCTTGCCGCATAGGTAAATAATGTTGGTATCTGGATCGTAGAATGGCAGCAGGACCCCGTTGCTGGTGTCCATCTCATGAAGGGCTATTGGTTCCTCCATGTTTTTCTGGAAATAAAAAAAAAAATAAAAATCCAGTGATGTTAATGAAGAATGGAAAAGCTCAGGTTAATGCGGGATCTAAATGTAGCTAGTGAACACGCAGGGGTGTCTTCACCACCCCGAAGGATCTGCGTGTTACAATAACAAACGCCCTAAATCTTCACAAGCTTATTCATTCCCCGAGGACATTTTGATCACAAAACACAATAAAAGCGGGACCCAAGAAAATTCACAAACTCAAGGGAAAGATGTGACACAGTCATGTCAGTAAGGGTCTTGTGCCAGCGCGAAGGGATCGCTGCTGCCTTGCTCTGCACATGTAACTATGAAATGAGGAGATTTCCCAGAGCCACTCCGCTCTCTGAACACCTTCTCAGGCATTTCAAAAGTGCAGGTCCCAGCTGCATCGCTGCTCCTGGCGAGGCAGGGATCGGTCCAAGAGAACTGACGGCCCTTACGGAGCCAACCCCCAGCCCGAAGAACGGCAGCGCCTGCTGGCGCGGGAGCTGGGAGGGGGAATGTGCTCAAGGAGATGAACCATGAATTTAGTGGGTGATTACGGGCCTAACTCAACAGACGCTACAACAGCAAAGTAGTGACGGGACAGGAACCTACTGGATTCCAAAGGGCGAGCTGCCGTTCGCTCATGCGGCTGAAGCCAGTTGTGAAGATGTTTCCATCAGCGAGGAAAATGGCTCGCATGGGCCGGGCTCCCTCGTGGGTTTTCTCTTTCTCCTGAAAGAGATTTACAGATCAGCCTCGAGCAAGGAATAGGACCTAAGAAATAACCACCAGGGATGGCTTCTCTTCTGCCCGTGCAGCATCCTCCGTGCAGGATGCCGACTACAAAACTCTTTGCCCGATGCTTGAGGGAAGAAAGCAATTGCAAAACTACAAACGAAGTGGTCACCCCTGGCTCGCTTCAGCTCCGCCTATCAGACTCTTGCAAGCTTGAAGGAAGACTTCTTTGCAAGCTACGACACATACGCAGGCTGCTAAATCTCCATTTCGCACACACAAGTTTGGAACTGTAATTATACTGAAGGATTAGACGTGGAATTACACTCCTGCAGGTTTAAAAACTGAGCCTTATAAAATCCCAGTTCAAACACTAATCCAAATAAACCCAGACAAATCCTTCAACCACTGCTATCCCTCCCGTAATTTCTTCCTCACTTTGAAAAACATGACTAAACATGGTATACACGGAGCAAAAAGGCTCCTTCTCTGTATGCTCTTGTAACTCTCTGCTGCGGCAAAACCCAAGTTGCTTCTTTAATTATCACACAGACTTACAGCAACAATTTCTTGTTTCCTGGGGTCAATAACCCGAACTTTTTTGTCTTTGGAAGATGTACAGATTAGGCTGCCGTTGCGATTCCAGCTCACATTGTAAATCATATCCACGTGCATGTCATCCAAGTTTATGAGGGCTTCACCTGTTCCCACATTCCAGATGATGATTGCATTATCACAGCCTAAAAAAGAAAACAGCAACTGAAGTCACAACACTGGTGTGTGCAAAAAAAAAACCCACCAAACCAGCAGCAGGAATAAAATCTGCTGCAGCTCCAAAGCCTCAGATGCTGACTCTTAAACACGCTCTGTGCACCATCATGTAGGCAGAGCCCAGGCAGCACATCCTCACTCAAATACAGGCTCAGAGCAGGGACCAAGCAGCCGGAGCAGGTACAAAACTCCCACCTTGATATTGTCAAGCACCTCCTCGGAGGTGCTGTAGCTGTCCCAAAGAAAGGCAGTTTATTTGGGAGTATTTGGGCACCACCACTGCCTGCATGCACGGGGTGGGCAGGAGGGTCAGGAAAGGTCCCCGGCAGAGAGGAAGCTGAAGGGAAAAGCAGGAGGTCCTGGTGCAGCCAAAGGTCTGGGAAACGTGCCCTGGCCACCGCTATTGCAGGAGCTTCGTGAAGAAGCTCTTGGGTCCTGGCTCAGCTGCAGGACTCCAGGGGAAGAGACACCGAGGGCAAGAAGTGATGTTCTTACAACTCCATAGGTGAGAATCCTGGCTGGCAGCCAGTCCTTGACTTCTCAGAGCAGAGAGATTTGTGGCAGAAAGAATAGAAGTGGCAGAGATGGAAAACAGGCAGCTGAGAGCAGGAAAAAGAGCAGAACAAAGAGAAAAAAAGAGTGGCAGGCAGCAAAAGCTGAGGTCAGCAGTTGCACCAGGACTACAAGCCATCAGGTGGGTGGTTTTGTTCAAGGCCCGGACAGCAAGAAGACAAAGAATAAAACCTAAAATAAGATGACAGCAAAGTAAAGAACAGGACTGGAGTACCAGGTAAGGGAAGGAAAGCACAATGTGTGACAGCAATTCCTCCTAAGGTTCTGGAGGGGTGAGAACATGAAACGAGGCAAAAGACAACAATCACCCTGAACTCCCAAAGGGCACAAAAGACATCCAAAATCAGTGTGTTGTCACCAGGAGGAACCCTGGAGACTGCAACGACCTAACAGCACCCCTTCTCCTTTGTGTTTTGTAGGAGTAATCCTGGCCGGAGAGCCTGGACACCCATCTTGCTACTTACAGGTACAGGAGACTGAGGAAACTACATTAAAAAAAAAATAACATCACCTTCTCCTTTCATATGTTTTCACACAGAGTTTTGTTACATTAACTGCCACAAGTTCTGCCACTCTAAGCATTTTTGGGGAAACCAGATCAAAACCAAACGGGTACCTCAGAAAACATTGATATCAACAGCAAACACACGGCCCAGCCGACAGTCCAGCCGAAAGGACTGGCTTCTTTTATTGGGCTTCCACCTAAAGGTCACGCTAGGAAAGCCTCAGGCCGTGCTAATGGATAATGACTTATATCCATTTCATTTCCATAATGATGCGACTCTTTTTCAGTGGTCAAAAGAATCTCATTGCATAGATCAACACCCGGCCAGAAGATGATTTGGAGACTGGGATACCTTGCAGGGATCAGCGAAAAGGAGGAACAGTTGGGCTTTTTATAAAAGTGTATGGAAATGGGGATGAGGAGAGTGCAGGTGTAAATAGTTAGCAGATGAAGCTTGCAGATAAAATAAAGTCTGGAACAATTTTAATACTGTCATTCATGCCTCCAGACGATTTCCTGGCTCTTGTCCCTGTGAACTGAAGGTAATAAAAGGCCAAGATAAGGTGGGGGGGCTGTCAGCCACGTGTCCCCAGGCTCTGCCGTTAGTCTTGTGATCCACCAGCCCTGAGCAGCTGGGAGAGGAAAGAAGGAAAAAGGAATGAACAAGCTCTTCTCCAAAACACCTGGCGTGGAAGCAAAATGCAAGGGAGAGATGCTTGTTGAGGCCAGAGCCCCGAGGCACCGTACCTGCGCTCAGCAGCACGTTGCGTGCCGTCGGATGCCAAGCCACGATGCCGACTCTCTTGGAATGGCCTTCTAACACCACCACCGGCTCTGTCAGGGACAGGGTGAGCCCGTTCTCGGGGATCTGCCACACCTGGAAAGGGGAAAGGAAAGGTGGTTAGCCAAGGGCCCCCCCCTCTGAAGAGCGTGTAACCCGTTTGCTTCCTGCGTCCTGCGCCGTGCCGCGGCAGAAGGCCGAGTTGTCACTCCTCAATATAAACAGGAAGAGCGAATCGAGGAGGGAACCGCTCCCAGCCACCAAGAAACCTTCACTCGGGCTGTAACATCCTTCCCCGCTCAGGCCGCCGGCACATAACCACCGGCTCCTTACGCTGCAAACGCCCCGTTACCGCCGTGTCCAGAGATCCATTCATCTCAGATGTTGCCTGAGGAGGATTCCAAAAAAAAAAAAAAAAAAAAAAAATTCCATCTGAACAAGCTGCTGTCTTTTCAAATTATGCTGGTCCCTCAGAGGGACGATACTGCAGCTATACTGGTGCCTGCTTTTATGAGTTTGCACGTTACGTTTTAGAGCCCCCTTTCAGACGCTGTCCAAGTGGGGGAGAGCAGTTTGGTCCTGGCAAAGGTGAAAGCAGCCCACGGCAGCATTGCAGAAACTCCCTTCGAAGGCAGCAAGCTGCCTGTTCACTTCTCTCGCCTGCTTGGTTACACAACTCTTCTTCAGGAAAGTGCCAGCGGGAGGGGGAAGAGACCCCCAAGGATGGCAGAGCACTGGAATTCCAGCTGCGGAGCCGGAGCAGGTTTGTGCACTGAAGGAGGCAGCTTCCCCAACTGGCAGGGACCAGGGGTGGGAGAGACTGACCCATCACCCCACGCCCCAAGGCAGGATCAGCCCTACCGAAACTATTCCTGCAATTCAGCTCTGGACAACCATCTTTGAACTGAATTTGACCTACATACAGTGTATTACAACAGTGGAAAGGCCGTCAGCGAGCAATTCTAGCTCCCTATAGATAGGTGGCAGCATCAGAGCACATTTGCTTCGCTTTCTATTGTTTGCTTTTTCTGGAGTGAGGGAACAGGGCTTGCCAGACCCTGCCCACCGTGTCCAAGCAAGCTGTCAGGGCCAGCAGATGCGAGCTGAGCACATTTTGGAAGGGATGCAGACAGACATGCGTACGGCCAACACAGGATTGTTGCGCTAATCCCAGTTTCTCCCTTTCCCACAGGGATGGCTGCGGCTCAGATAAACCCCTCTGAAATGCAGACATTCTCAGCGCGTACCAGCTCACCTCTAAATAACCCTAAAATGATTTCACTTTTCACCAAGGCAGCTCTCAGCATCCTCAGCATCCCAGCAGGAACGACCTGCGACGGGCACGAACCCCAGCGGACAATCGCTCTGCGAGGGTTGAAAAAAAAAAAAATCCCTCTTTCTCCTCCTGCCTGATGGACCAGCGCTAGGAACAAGACGATGACACAAACTGAGGTTTTTACCAGCAGTCGCGTTTTAAAAATTGGAAGCTGGAGCTGTTCAGCCTGGAGCAGCAGGAGGTTTGTCCTGCTCCTTTCCAATCCCACACCTGCAGCCCCAGGACGCTCGCAGAGGGCTGTGCTGCTCGTGAACAGCAGCAAATCGTTTCACCTCCCCACTGCACGGTTAAAAGTGGGTGACAAAGCTGCCGATTTTTACAGAAGCACCTTTCTCCTTGCCAGTCAGGGAATAACAACCTGACAGTAGCAAGAGTTTAAAACGCGTCTGCTGACAGGAGAACTTTCAGGTCTCAGACAAACCACCTCCAAACCCCTCCTTCCCCCCAACATCCTAACACAATGCTGCAGAAACAGGCGTTACCTAAACCAGTCAGAAAGTTGGAAAGAAAACATGAGAGCTGGGAGATCTCAGGAGAAGAGGCAATGCAGGAGAGCCAGGGGCTCTGCCACCAGGGCACGGGAGGTGCCGGGCAGAGCGCTGGGTGACACCAGGGCAGGGGCAGAGGATGCTCGACACGAGCCGCTCGGGTCTGACAGCGACGCTGGGGCACAGCCGACGTGGGCATGAGAAACAGGAAAAAAAAAAACCAAACCGCTTCTCCAGTAGATGAAAAGGCCAGGAGAGGCAAGACTGACCTAGGCAAGATGGGTGTTATACTGAGGATTAAACAGGGAGCCAGGCAGGGTTATCCCGGAGTCTCAACGAGCCCTTAAAAATGCCGAGCCTTGATGAGCATGGCCATTTCTTCCCCCGAGAGAAACGGTGGGATAAAGCAGCCTGCCCCAGCTCTCTCAGCCTCACTCTCTGCGTGGGGGAAGCTTTGAAAATTGAATTTATTCACAAGACGACCCAGGAGAAGCACAAGCTTCTGGGCCAAGCGTGACCTGCAGAGAAAGCACGCAAGGACGGAGCAGCTTCTACACCTGCAGCCAACCTCATCCCTGCGGCGGGGCAGGCAGAGCAAAGGGTCCAGGCGCCGAGATCCCCGTTTGTTTTGTGCTGTCTCGGCCATCAGGGATCCTCCCGTGCCAGCGCAGCCGGAGCAAAGGAACTTGTGTGCCAGAAAAGTCCAGCACCAAGTTTAAACGTGAGCCAGCAAGTGCAGGAAAGGGCGGTATCAGAGGCAAAACACCAATAAAAAGGATTTTTTAGAAGCCTCTGGAGGACAGACAATTTTTTTTTTTCTTTAAGGGAAAGCCCTTACAGTTTACAGACAAGTGGAATCCTCTGCAGATTACAGAAACTATTGACCTAATAATCCTGCTTAGTATTGAAAGAATAAAAAAAAAAAAAAAAAAGCTAGGAGTGTGAAAGGTCAGGGTATGCTCCCAAGCGACCTGGCCCACTCATTCCTGCATAGGGTGGGGTGCCTGTCTTCAGCGTGGGATGAAATTAGATTCACAGGGCAAATTAAGGCACTTTCACTTTGGATGCAGGACCCAGCCTGCTGGAGGTGAGGACCTGGGATCAGTACACAAAGGAAACCATAAAATATTGCAATATATTAACTATTAAAATAGATTAACTGGGCATCAGTTAAGGTTTGCCAGCTCTCCCACTTGGCTGGGGGGGGGGGAGTTGGGTTGTTGGGTTTTTTTTATGGTATTGTGGTTGGTTTTGTTTTTTTTTTTTTAAATTAGCATGGCTTGGTTTTTTTTGTGATGGAGGAAGCGAAGTCACGCCACTGTGGTATGTAGAGGTTTGGGTCTCAGAGGAAGAGCAGGAGGGAAAAGGTTTTACACAAACAGCATGTGAGAAAGAAAATAAAGCAAACCTTTTCAGCACTTCTTTTATACCCTTTAAAGACAATCACAACCTGCCTCTTCATCAACCTGCAGAGAAGATTAACTCAATTTCTAGAAAACAACATAAATTCCTAAATTCGCATTATGTGAGGAAACAAATGAGTTTGAGCCCTGGGTTTTATCTACATCCCTGCTCTGGTATCGCTGCAGGAAAAGGCACTTTGTGCATCCATTTTCTGTAGCTGTAAGACCTTCTCCACATGGTCCTGGCACCCCGTCCTGGCGTCCCAGGTCATTGCAAAGGCTCTGGTTTAGTCTTTAGAACAATTTGCTCAATCAAAAGAGCTCTACTCCAGCCATTACGTGCAAACTCATTAGTATTCACCTTCTGATGAAGCAAATTATCGCTATCTGAGAACGGCCCTCTGATACCATCTACAAGCCTTTTTATAATCAAACATTTTCCAGCTGAATTAAAAAACCTGCAGCACATTACAGTCGTTCAACAGAATATCAAGCATGAATATTTAAGTAATTCCTTATTTGTTGGCACGAGAAAACAATTCTTCAAAGAGCACACCAGAAGAGGCCACAGAAGGTATCTGCATGCTGTGGCGTTTTAAAGAAAGTCTGTCTGAGAGCAATTCAGAGTGAAGGAGATGGGGACTCCCCGCTCCATTCTTCTGCAAAAGAAGAGAGAAATTCAACAAGAAGGAAATGGGGCAGAGAGGCTACTGCCATCTCCCGCATCACACCGAGTGTCTGATCAGGGCTCTCGTGTTACGCTGGATGTATGAAGTGGGCCACGTTCTGGAGAACTGAGAACGAGGCATAAAGAGGAAATATTTAAACACTTGCAGACTACAAGTATTTCTTTATATCTCGAACCACTTCAAGGGAGTTGTATTTGCCAACTCAAAAGGAATCTGTTGGCTTCACACTCCCAACTGGCAAGGGCAGGAGGGGACGGAGGCCAACGCGTGCCCCGAGGAATACCCGGCGTGGGATGAAGGAAGAGTGTTCTCTCCTCCACGAGCCTACGCTCCCCCAGAGAAGAAAGCAGGCAGTGTTTTGGAGGGGTCCGTTCTACTTCTTCCTCTGCTGGGATCAGCCAGCGACGTGCTTATACCCCTTGGCACCATGACCTGCACAAAGGTGGTCTTGCGAGGGTGAGATGTCCTAAAGCATTGCCCTCCACCATCTCTTTCTTCTCTACCTCCAAATGATTTCCGAATTCATCGGATGGGACAACACAATTAAGGAGCGTATAACCTGAAACTGTCAAGTGCCTTTCATCAGAAAAATCTCAATGCAGCTACAAAGAGTTAAACCTCCAAAGCTCTCCAAGCTACGAAGCCCAACAGTATCAGAAAAAGATGTCTTTCCCAGCCCCTGATTTCAACCCCTAGTCTAAGGAGCTCGAATACCTGTCCAAGGTCTATATGCAGCTCACAGGGTCTTTCCGCCCGCCACAAATCTTGAGTTTTTATTGATATGAAGATGCTTCCAGCTTTTGAAAGGGCCGAGGTAACCTTCCTTGTGGAACACAAAGGCTGCAGACAGCTCAAAGTTACAGCTGCAGGGAATCATCCCTCTTCATCCCAGAGCCATGCTCCCTCCCCTCAACACCTATCCAGCTGATGAGATCTTTTGTGGCCGAGGGCAAGATCCTAAATCCTTGAGTGCCAAGGCACAGATGGTTTTTACAAACATTCGGTATTTTTTTAACAGCAGCTGGCGCTTCTGCAGAAAGCTGCGTGATTTCCTCTACGACATCACTTTGTCTCATTTCACATTGGCTAATGAAGAGTTCAGAGCTGATGAACAACCACATATCCTTTAAAGTAAGAGGAATTTATTCGGTGACAGGCTGTTCAGGAAGCAGGACTCCAGAACCTTTATTGAAGAAAAGCAAAGAAAACAGGATGCTAAATTACTCGTGCCAGGACACAAAAGCAATTGAAAATGGGAAGGCTCGTTAGCTCATCCAGTTTGTTTCCAAACAGTCCAGGCCAGGGTTGTTCTTGACCCTACATATCCTAGCTCTGTCCAGCCCAGCTAACAACTGTCCCAAACGATTTGGGATACATCATTTCCCATCAGAAGTTACCTGGTACTTAACGGGAGATTTAACTTCAGCTTTCAGCTCCTCTCCGCTTTCTTCATGGCTACTCGGCTTCACCGCTCCCTAAACCTCCAGCTAACGTGCACCTAACACCTTCCAAACCGTGAGCTGCATCACCTTGTTCCTCCAAGCACTCACTTATCTCACCCTCGCGGCTGCCCGCTCCCTTCCACTCGAGTCACGGTCACGCCAACCGGGTACCGCACGCGAACGCGAGGTGCAGCCTCGCAGCCAGCCACGCGCGCCACGTGGGGACAGACACGTTGTGCCGCGTCTGTCCCCACGCCTGTTGCCTCCAGGGAGGGAGGGGACACTCACCTCCCCGCTTTGGTGTGAGCAGATGAGCAGACAACCCGCCGCGAGCCCCCTCCCCACGGAGCCTGCGCGCGCCGTCGGAGGCTCGGAGTCGCGCAGACGGTTTGTGTCTGCGTTGGGAGCATTTGGACAACTTGTAACTGAACGCTGTTGCTTTTTCTACGTAATTCAATCCCCCTGGAGCCTCGCAACATACTTCTCATTGCACTTGGATTAGAGACTTATTTTGCCTCCAAGAAGGAAGCGATGGACCTCAGCTTCGCCTGCTTCTGTGGACGCTCACGTTTCGGCGACCTTCCCTTCCGATGCGCAGCCTTCGGGATCCTGGTTACTGGAGAAACGCTCCTGCATCCTTCAAAGCTTCATTCTAGCCCCGTAGTGAACGTTACAAACACAGAAGCTTGTTGTTTTGTTTAATATTAAATATAGTACATTTTGTTAACATGCTTCAGCTTCCAAGACTGAGAGATCACAGGCAAGAGCTGTCCCAGGATAAGCCTCTTGGGATGAATCCCCTCCCAGACATTTTAACGATGAACAGAAGCAAAGGAATTTATCTGACATGATCTATAATAAGATTTCAATATAACATTCAGCCTACAGCATTTCTAAATATGGCCAAAGATCACTGAAGTTATTTGGCATTATTTCATCTTACAAGGATTTTCTTTCACTTATTCTGCTGTGTTTGCATACACAGGATTCCACATCCATCACAGAGCAAGGTCGTCTATTGTTCAGTGAGCTCTGACTGAGGTAAAATAGGTCTCAGGATCAAGGTTGGCAGGTGCAGAATTTGGATTATTTTTTATTTATTAAAAAAAGCCCTCCTGACATCTACTCACAACCTGCAGATATAGGGAAAAAAAAAATAAAATTAAAGCACATCACCCTTAAATTGAGGGCTGAAGTAATTCTGAAAGCCGATGGGCTTCTCTGCCTCCAGTCCCCACCTCTTCCCAACACACACCACTGCATCCATTAGGATAATGAGGTAAGGAACCACCACTGCCTTCTGCCAAGCGCTGCAAAACAAAACACCTCACCACTGCCTGGCACTCTTTCTCCTCTTTCCTCTTCCCAAACATCAGACGAAGCCCCAGGGGAAGGGAAAATGGAAGAACAATTGAAGACAAAGCCAGGAAGACACAGGCCAAGTCCATTACACAAAGTCCCATCTCAGTGCTGAAGAGACTCTTCTCAGAAGCCTGAGGTTGCACCTTCTCAGACAGTAACACGAGAAGAAAGCACCAATTGTGAAAGCAAATTCTGCTGTTACACAGGTAATAAAGCTCACTTGGCTAGTTTTGCTCCAATTTTTAGCTAGGTCCTGCAGCCAAGACAGCATCATTCCTTAAACCGGGACTAAACATGCAGAAAGCCCATCAGCAAGGACTCTGCCCTCGGCCTCGGGACAGGAGATGTCTTCAGAAATACACGTGTGGTCTGCAGCAGCATTCCTGGCATGAAGCAAACTCCAGGCCACAAGATAAATGAAATACCCTTACCATGACGGTGCAGTCCTCCGAGCCACTGGCGATGACCTGGTCATTATGAGGACACCAGTCTATGTCCAGCACTGGACCCGTGTGGCCACACACTGTTGGGTAGGACTTGTCAATCCTGCCTGTCTGAAGGAGGGAAACAAGAAAAAGAGCTGTAATACACAGAGTGGAGGAAGATGCTTCCTCTTTCTCCATTAACTCTTTCAGTATTCACAGTTTCATGACATTTGAATCGTCTCATGCATCCGCAGAGGAAACAAACCAGCAACTCTACTCCAGCATCAGCTGGTTCAGCACCGGAGGGGCTTTGCTGCCCGTGTCTCAGGATTTGCTACGACGCAGTCCCTTCGTCCAACCTTAGTGTTTCAGGAAGAGGGCTCTGCCTGACCAGCGGAGCTCTGGTTTTGGCTGTGCTTCACCACGGTGGCCAGCGCCAGCTAAAGATAACCAAGCTAAAATCTTAATTGAAGGGTGTCGTTGAATTTACCAAGTACGCTTGTTTTCATCACAGAAGTATTTTGCTCAGATGGAACGTTTTTAGGACACAGTTGTGCAAAGTAAAACGCTGTTTTCAGGAACAAACACTGCTGACCCAGACTGCCACAGCCACCCACCCCTGATGCGTACCTGCCCCTCTATGGCTGGAGGACCAAGGCCACCAGCAGGCTGCCAAAGCCAAGCTCACTACACAGATAAACTTCCCAAGAGAACAAGCTAACGAGATGTTCCCGTCTGAACTGAGACAAATCTAGCGATGCCAATGTAGTTGTTGCCAAGACACCAACTTTGCCAACCGGCTCTATATTTCGCTGGTGGAGTCTTGAAGCACCTGAACCCCCCCCAAACTGCTGATGCACCTAATACTCCAGGTTCCTCTGTGTGCAAGGAAATAAAAATCACTCTAGTCAACCCTCGTTACCGCTCTTGATCAAGTCTTGCACACAGAGGAAACAATATTTAAAATACATGAAGACACATACACTGGAGACTCGTGCGCTTCCAGGGCCAGAACCCGGGTCCCGCTTCAAGGGGTTTTGTTTCCAGGGAATGGCTTTTTCATGAGGGATGGAAGAAGAGAGACAGGAGGGAGAGGTCTGGGACGGGGTGGTTGTCTTTGGTGTTTAAACACGCAGAAGATATGGCTGGCATTTCATTTCTGCCATCTGACGCTAACATTCCCCTAACCTTGGAGGTTACATCTCTTAATATATGCCTCCTACCCCTCTCCGTGCAGAAGGCTGGTCCTATTCAATGCTGGTTTACTCACAAAGGATCAGAATAATGCTGGACACCGGCTTTTGAAGACTACTGACCTGCAGACCTCTACTAGAGCAAACCAAGATATAGATCCAAACAGGCTAAATTATGGAAACAAAACAACTACTATTTCCTAAATGGCCAAAATTAGCTTTCAAAAAAAAAAAAAACCAAAACCCAAACCCCACCGAAAAACCAACCCAAAAAACCTGTCTCCGTGACTCAAATGCTTTTGAAATTATTAAAAGTGAAAGGGCTGTAGATAAAAAAAACATAAACTAGACATCCAGAAATTAAAGTCTGTGTAATCCCTCTCGGATGCCATAACGTGAAATGGGATTTAAAGAAATTAATACATCCAACTGACATGTATAGCGCATCCATTTTAATTTATCTAATTAAAAAAAAAGCACCATGCAGAGCATATGCACATGGACATATTTCAGAAGTCACATTACAGGCTAAATACAAATAGAGACCTAAATCAAAAGGAAAAAAATATGACTAATATCGCAAGACATCAGTGACTACCTGTTCTTGCTCCCGGACAGGGCTCAGAGTAATCCTCTAAGAGGAGCCTATGGTAAGTATTTGCAGGCAGCACGAGCGCTTGTCAGTTTAGTTTAGAGTTTTTACAGTAATTTATTACTGCAGGGAGGGGGGGGAAAAAAAAAACAACAAAACCCAACAACCAACTCAATTTGAACAAATTAAACCACAAACTTCACCTTTCAGTTTTGATCAGGATGAACCTGAACAGCACGAGCAGCAGCCGCCAACTGCCTGTGACAGCCAGCTGACCGCAGGGACCGGGCAACCCCACCGCCTGCTTTTGATCACCTAAACCGGAGCTCGTTTTTTAAATCAGCTCTCTTGTACTTGCATTAGCTCACTAAACGGCGGGGCTCCGAGGGCAGCGAGGAAAAGGAGATGATGGAGGCTCTGTGTGAGCTCCCCATGCCCGAAAGCAGAAGGGACCAGCGCAGCCACCGGCTTCCAGCTCCCCGGGGGAGCGAGTCCGCTTCCACCAGCAGGCGAAGCAGCCAGCAAGAGTAAAGCTCAGTCTTGTCACCAAGCTAGAATAAAACTCAGTCCTGTCATCAAGCTGAGGGACTTGAGATGGATGCACAGGCGTGGCTGTTTTGGACAAGGACAGCACACATTTCTCAGGCCAGGGCTATCTGCATCAAGAAGAAATTAGCAGATGCACTAAGGGGAAGTTAAACCAAACTGAGCAGAAATATCTTTGCCCCATGTTCTAGGGGAATAGATGCTTATCTGCATCATCTCTAAAGCTATAAAGCGCACCCTTTTCCTGCCTGAATGCGGATAGTGACATATGAAAACCATTTCTAACCAGGGAACAGAGTAAGGGTGGGGAAAGTGAGATGTTATTTCGAAGCAGCAATGTGGGAGATGCACTAACACGAGCATATTTATTCACAAAAAAATTTACAAAACCAAGCAAGCAGAGTGCAAACAAGAGATGTCCCATTGCCTGCAAACACAACAGCTCCGCAGAGTCTGGCAGAGGAAGACAACGCTGGGGAGATGCACAGCCCCACAGCACCAACCCCGACACGAGAGGACCAACTCAGGTGCTCACCAGGGTCCACGAAGAATAGCGTCAAAAGAGCAAAATGAGAATAAATAAGGATGAAAATGGACAGAAGGGCTTACTGTCAAAAGGCTGCCGTGCTGCTCGGAGCTGCGGTTTGGCTAAGGGGAAGTCCAACCACTTTCAGAGAAGCTACTGACTTGTGGTCAGAGACACAAAACTGTCTTCCCAGGGCAGAGGAAACCATGGTGCCTTCCTGAACACTTAGCACTGAGCAAAAGCTCTCCTCAGCAACGCTTCTAAATGCACTTCATCTGTTTCACTTTTTTTTTTTTTAAAAAAAACCAACTTTTATTAGAAAGCGTGACCCTTCAATGGGGATTGGTCAAAGGACAATAACCCACGTCACCACCCCAGGTCCTGACCCAGCACACCTTCCCCCCAGCCACCCCGCAGGGTGAGAAACAAGCAAGTTTTGAACTCAAATGCGTTACTTTACCACACTTCTAAGCCAGGTTTGCAAATAGTGTCCTGCGCAGGCTACACCGCAGGCTTCCTCCTCCCGGCAGCGTTCCCCTCCCTGGAGCAGGGGACCCCTATTCCTGGCATTGTGTGGGACTTGCTGTGCACAGAAGAGCTTTAAAAACAATTATTTGTGGGGCTTTGACAAAAGGGAAAGACCAGAAAGCCTGCAGCAGGGTATTAAAAAAACCACCAGCCTGTAAAAGTCCCAAATTCAACATTTCTTAATGCAATTCCTTTTAAAAGAGACTCCTCCGCCATAAAAGCACCACGAGGTTTGCGACTTTGCTGCCAAATGAGGGCATTTTCATGCTGCCGTAATACTTGCGGGTTTGGGGACTTATTTATTTATTTCTAAAGCGTAATCTTTTAATTAGTTAAGGATTTAAAATAAATCTCAAGTGCTGATACACCGCTTAAAATTAACTCGGTACCCAACTTCAAGAAATTAAACCCTTCTCGTAATCCGTTATGACTCCGGCTGAGCAACACATCACGGTAACAACACTGGAAACTCAAGAGTTGTATTTTACAGAACATTAGCCAAAAAGGTGAATTTGAGGATTAATATTAATAGGCTGGATGGCATTGACTAGAAGCACACTCAATATTCAGGTCCTTCAACAGGTCGGTAAGCTGACCTTCCCAAATGAATGAATTCATTTAGTACTTTTATGTCTCCCAGATCAGAAAAAAAAAAAAGAAAAAAAAGATAATGAGAAGAAGAAGAAAAAATTGTTATTAAATTCAGAAGGGACAGATAAGCAGCACAGAAAAACTGCTCCTAAAAGTGGCAGTTTCGTGAATTCATTTGACTGCCTTATGATCGCTTCTCTGCCAGAAAAGGGCAATTGGTTGCAGGAAGCAGCTCATGGATTACAGTAAAAATATCACGGAGAACAGCTGCTTCCCCCAGCCCGTGGCTGCGCTCATTAAGATCCCCATTTAAAATAGGGAAGTGGCATCGAGTTGCACAAGCAAAAGCAATTCCCCCCACCCTTAGTTTGCAGAAGTTTGAGGAAGGAAATCAGGTCACAACTGCGAAGTTTGAAATACCAACCAACTGGTACCTTTTGTGAGAGGAAAAACATGCTGCTTTTTCTTAGCTAAATTGTGCGTTTTCCTTACAACAAACTCCAGTTTCCCGTGAAGTTTAATGTGCTCTGGCCACTGAACCTCCACCTCTGGTTGCAGCAGCAGCTGGGGCAGGGCAGGAGGCAGTTGGGAGAAAATACTGCAGTGGGATGTAATGAAAGTGCATTGCTCTCTCGTGACCATGACAAATAGTCATTAGTCACCCAGCGAACCCATCAAGGCATCCATAACTAATTTGGAACATTATGAAAAGTGGTACTGCCCAAAGGTCTACTGTAATGTCATGCAATAAGAGACTTCCAGGCATTCGTAACTACATACGGCTTTCAAACCAGACCGCTCTAAAGATCGCTTGTGCCCTCCAAAAATTCCTTGGTTTATCACCTTGACAGCTGCGGGGCTGTGACATTACAGCCCATGTTACAGGCTGCTACAGAACAGAGACAAAAGTCCTTGTTCCGGAGCGCCCAGACCTAAATGGATGCACAAAGAGGAGGGAAGAAAAACCGCGGTGACAGACAAGGAATCCAGCACAAAGCCAAGCCTGCCCGAGCAGGGCTTTAAAAAACCCTGGCACTGCACGGCCCCGGCAGATTTGGCATCGCAGCTCAAAGCACAGTTTGGAGGGTTTCCGGCAGCTGTGGTGAGGTTCGTCTGACAGAGCTGGGAGAGGAGCTGCAAGAAGCTCCCCCCCGCGTCAGGGTGTGCAGGTGACCGGAGAGGTAAGAGCTGGTTGAAACCGCAGCATGCTCTACGCTGGAAAAATGTATGTTTAGCTGAGGAATCCTTCACAAAATTAACCGCAACAATCAGCTACTCGCATTCTGGCTTTTAAAAAAAGGAAAAAAAAAAAAAACAACATAAACAGCCCCCCAACCCTAAGTGCTAACTCCAATCCCTCGGAGCTGGGTGGGCAGCACAGCTCCAGCATTTCAGCTAACGTCCATCCCAGTTTCTAGAGGAAAGCTCTAAACAGAGCTCAAAATTAAACTTCAGGTTCAGCAAACTTTTATCTGAGGAAACCCTTCGGGCAGACGATGCAGAGATTCAAACCTGTTGCCCAGAAATTACATTACAATTAATATTAATATAAAAAGATACAGAGTGGCTCTTCTGTTCCATTCCT